ATCACTGGCTGAATGAGTCTTGATTTACTCCATGGCAGAGCCCCTCCACTGCACCCTAAAACAACTGCAGAGAGAAGGAAGCTCAAATTGGTGGCCACCAGTTTTGGAAGGGAGGATCTGAGCTGTGAGGAGATGATGGAGTACCCACCAGAGGCTCCTGGAGGGGCAGGGAAGTGGAATGTGGTCCGTCCACTGCTCCCCCAAAGCACCCCAAGGCACTGCTACCTCTTGCAATGAGTACCGGGTAGCTCCCCATGGACTGCATGGGAAATTTAGACATCCAAACTGGAGCTGGGAGGGACAGACTGAAAAGCTGGGGCAAGGCCTCACACTGCAAAATCTAAAGCTGCTCTGCTGCCCTAATTCTGTTAAGTCTTTTTAAAATGTTTCTTCTGATGCTTAAAAAATGAAAAATGGACAATATGAGCTTCAAATCCCAATGCTATCTATGTAAAAATGCACAGTATCACATAATTGTGTAGTAGTTGCTTACTACTTACATCTTACTGGTTGCTTTTAAATTAACTTTATATACAGTTACTGCTTTTTCTCTGTAAAACAGTACATTTAAATTACTTTCTTCTTTTGAATGAGACTGATTTAACTGAAGACATGCTAAAAGGTCATAAATTAAGAAATAAAATAATTTTAGATTAGAAGATATCCTTCGGGACATTGGAGACAGTTGTAATTTTTTTCCATTTCCTACATGTATATAATTGAATTAAATATTTTTATGTCTCTTATATTACTTGCAATTGACAAAACTGGTCTGATTATTTTTTCTTTTTTCAACACCTGTGTGGTTTGAGTTCTATTAGAGAATAAACAAAATATATGAAATTATAGCATAAGGAGAATGGATCACTAAAATAAAATTAAATAACCTCCTCAGCTAATACCTGGTATTTCATAAAACTAATTTAACAGTGTTTATTCTGTGAGGCAATCTGTATGCTACTACAAGTCTTGCCTGTATTAGCTTGTTGTTCCTGGATATTTTTTTACTATGACAGAATGTAACGGAGAAAATATTAACCTATCTTCAATCATGAAAATTCTTTGACATTTCACTGCATTAGGCGAACATCTTCCTACCAGGAAGTGCCAACATCTAAAGGAAGATATATTTAACTAATGCTCTTCACCTCCTTGTGAAGTAACTGTTCATTTTGCCTTCTTTGTTTCACATTAGATTGTTAACAAGTTCAGCATATACATTTCTGGTTCTTTCAAATAAATGTTGCCTTTGTTGAGATGTGCTGACTTCCTAGACATTAGAAAATGTCAAAGATGTTGTCACTTAGAATACTGCCTTTAGTTTTACTGCATTCTTCTTTGACTTACACCAAAGTCAGGAAGGAGAGTGCTAAAATGGCATTGATTTGTTGATTTATTCAGTCCTTTTCTAAGGTAGAATGGTCTGTGAAACTATTACTTATATTATAAAGAGGACATGGATTGAGTATTCCTGACTTTGACATCTCTCTCCATTTTCAGGTATAAGCCCTTCACTAATGGATACCAGGATCCATACAGGATTCATGTATTAAATCTGAGAGGCATTTTTTCTGTGAGAACAGCTCACTTCAGCAGAAAAAAGCCTGAACTTCATCAGTGTGACCAGAATGTATCAATGCATTCCTTTTTTGTACCACTTTTCAGGGTACAAGTTTACTGTCCATCTCCTACATTTGATGGCTTATAATCACTCTTAATTTTCTCTGATACATTTGGTTTTGGCCCATAAGAGTAAACCCGTGGAGCAGTATTTGCCTCCTTACCATATTTTGATTTCTCTCAGCATGCAATGCTTGGCACAGGTCAAATTCTTAGATGGTGTTTGACATTTGGCTTAATGAAATAGTGTTCCTGTCTTCCTGTGTGTCGTTCTTCTATTTTGAACTATGTTCGTTCTAGTTTTGCATACCTTGAGATTTGGAAGGATCCAAATGAGGGAGATTTAAGAAAATATTTTATTTCTGGCTGCTTTTAGTGTGAGAAGGACCAGAACTTTCCTTTAATTAGTTGCATTCCACAGATACATTTATGATGTTATTCAGAGAATAATCAAATAACAACCTCTTTCTTACCTCCACTATCATTCTGTGTTGCCTAGCAATCCATGTTAATTTAATTATTTTTCATAATTCTTACAAGGAAAAAAATGGTGCCAATAAATACACAACCTTAGATACATATGTCTAAAAAAAGAAGTTGATCTTAGCCCCTTAAGCCACAAAAAATCAAAAAAGTCTCACTCTCCTGATTTTTTAATTTCAGAAGAAAAAACCAACAATGCACTCAAAAATGGATAATAGATTATATTAAAACTCTGAAATCTGTAGCTGGTATTTCTCAAATATCAGATACGTGAAATATAAACAACTTTTATATGGCAATAATTTAGAAAATATAGTCACAAAATGGTCTTTGAAATTGCCATTTATCTAGTTTGCAGAATAAAGAAAAATATAGAATATTCTTTTAAGAATTTGTAGTAATGACTTATAGTTCTTATGCTATAATCAAGGATTTATTTTAAGGTATGATTAAACTGTGATAAAGAAACAGTTAAGAAGGTACAGACAAGTCTGTATAGTTGTTATAGCTAATAATATATATAAATCACAGTCCAGGGTCCCAGAAATCAGTAGGAAAAAAATTTTTATTCAAGACATCCTTTGTCTCTAGCCCTTAATAACCATAAGAATAGCTTCCAGAAAATAAGAAACATTTTTTCTAAAGCTTATAAATATTCACTTTTTGGCTCATTTCTTAAATTTCTGATTGCCAATGCCATGCTTTTCTTTACCTCTGAAGTCAGCAAACAAGTAAGAAGTAAAAAGCAAAAGGGAAAATGAATGTGTTGAGAATTGCAGGAGCAGAAAAATGCCAGATATGTCTATGCTAATGTTTAATAAAGTGTTTGCATAAATTCAGAGAAAATACAAATAAACAAAAAGTTTTGTTTGTGTGTGCATAAAAGCAGAGAACAAATGAATAGAGAAAAAGTTTTGTTTGCTGTTTTGTGAAAAGATGAGAAATGCAATACTGCTTGACTGCTGCTGGGTTTTAATTTACAAAGCAAGTGCAAATGAGACTGGCTTTACTCAGCACAGTCTAAAATACAAGGATATCTTTACACATGTGCTATATTTCTGATGCTCAAAATATTGTGTTATGCTGCTGCAGCCAGAAAGGTCCGAGGATAATGATTAGGATGAGATTTCAGGTGAATAGTGACATTTTCTGACTGATTTCTTAAATCTGTGTATATGTGTGTATGTATGTTGACCCTAACCTCTAATGAAACTGCAGTCATACTCCATGTCCATGGTTATGACATTTCTGTCCCACAGCTTCCTAAAAATATCCCATTTGGATAAAATTACTTTCCTTTCTGTTCACAGAACAGACCCAATGAGCCAGTTGAGTTAGGTGACTTACCAGGATTAGCCCTTTGACATTATACTGAGATGAAAAAGGGGGTTTAACATGGTCAGTGACAGAACTCACTTGGTTTTAATGATCATCTCTACTCTCTTTCTAAACCTCTTATTCTCACTCATATTTTATGACATTACAGAATATGAAATTTCTTGCTTGCAAACTTGTTTTGAACAGCTGTTTTGTCAGCCACAAGCTTATTTTTCTGTCACTGAACTTACAGCTCATCCCGTACCTCTTCCTGTCTCTCATATATTGAAACCATGATCTTGTTGCAATTTGAGCTTAACAAAACTGAATATAAATCCTTCTTCACTCACACATTCTCATTTCCTCCCTCTTTGCTTCCTTGTAAAGAAAATCCCCCAATACACCCTACCTTTTTATTCCCCCCACTCTTTCTGGCCTGGAAAATTCAGGTCATTCCCCTTCATCCTCGGCAGATGTCAAGGTCACCCTCTTGGCTATTTAGTCTCTGCCAGGTTTCTCCCTCAGGTTTGAGTTACATCATACTGTGATTTCTGCCCAGTTTGCCTTTCTGTACCCCGTTATGGACACATGCCAAATACTACTGCTCAGGCTGTGTTTCTTATTTGCTGATGTGAACTTTGATCTCACTATGCTATGACCTCTCCCCTGGCATGACTCCTCCAGTTCCCCATTTACCATAATAATGAATTTTGTCACCTTTTAGGCACCTCAGTAATTCTGCTCATTCTTTTTGTCACTTCCTGAGGTTCATTCTGATCCTTTCTTTATTACGTCATTGTTCCCAGCCATATCTTCCAGTTTCATGCCTTCATCCACACTTGTCTCTAATTTTTATTACACAACTGACAGTTTTAATTAGTACTTAATCCAGAAAGATCAAACTCTGTACCTATTAATGTCTTTTTAATTCCAGTCTTACATGGAATAAAACAGCCTTTTACTTCCTGCTTCATAAAGAACTCTCTCCCATAACCTTTCTCTACTTTTCTACCTTTGGCCTCAATCCTTTTTGACCTGGAGAAGATCTTACGGGTCATGGATTCACATGTAAACAATACTGCTACTGAGCAAATTAAGACCTCTTCTGAGCACTTCTCTGAGGAAGTTACAAACAAAACTAATTGATATGGTTTGGTCCTCATTTAAAGGCCATTATTTTGACATGTTAAAGGGTGATCCCTGAGCTGCACTCCAAAGGAATGACAGGAATTGTAAAGACATGCCCAAACTACCAAGGTCAAGGCCCTTGTACAAGCTACCTAGATCAAACACCTACAGAATGTAGCAAAGGGATACAAAGCAAGACCAAAGCAAGGGGTAGAGCTTTCAAAGAAGAGTTTAAAGGAAGTTGAACATCAAGGACTGACTGCTCTAAGCAAAGTAGGTTTCTGCAAAAATGTACTGAACTCGTGGAGTGTTCTGAACTTCTTCATATTCAATGACATCTGCTACAGGATTCACACACTACTAGATTATTTCACGTAAAGCCATACCACCTTTTCCAGCGTTAAAACATTAATGCATTTCAGAACTTAAGGAGCTATGAGAGAACGCGTTACCTTTTCTTGATACTGCCGTCGCGATGAATCCAGGGACTGAATGAGGGCAGTGGCATGACCAACAAACATGGCATAACAGGTAGCCCCCACAATCATGCTCAGCATCGTTATCCACAGGTCCGACATGCTGACGGGGGCGCGGGCTCCGTACCCAATGCAGAGCATATGGCTCATGGCTTTGAAGAGTGCATATGAGTACTGCTTTCCCCAGGAATCGTTCTGCAAGAAAAGAGACAAGTGACTGAGCCTGCAAGCAGCTGGAGAGAAAACTATGTTTGTACCTGTTTAGTGGGATCATAGATTGCTGGCTCTGACAGAGTAGTCTGGTAATGTATCCTCTATGTTTGAGAAGAGATATGCCTTCTAAATTAACTGTTAGATAAAGTGTCAGAGATTCTGACAGATAATACTTATCACAGTGAGATGAAATAAAATTGACTATTTTTTTACACATGATTATATTCTTAAATGTGGGTGCTATCCTAATTACAAGACTAAAGGTCAATTTTATTTTACAGCCCATGGGAGATGGATTAGAAAAAACTGAGTACTCAGACTTATCAAGCACAATAACGTGGTATTTTGTTTTAATATGCATGTACATATCCCTGTACCCTATTTCTTTCTTTTTGGAATTGTCAATTTTTACACACAACCATATTTACCTTACTAGCTCCCTTTCACTTTTCAAGGACAGAAAAAAAAAATATTGTTTATTGTAATGTCTGCTTATCCTGATTTTTTGGTTTTTTTTTTTTAATATTGTGTTTATACTGGAATAATCTCAATTGAAAAGAAGTCTGTCTTTTCTCTATCATAGCAATCCTATGTTCACAGTCACAGTCTCTGAAAGTCAGAGCAAAAATTAAAAAAAAAAGGGAGGCCTAGGAGGACCTATTTTCTGATGTGCTGTGTGCACTTCTGATGTGCTACACCTTCCCAGTCTCTCTGGTAGACTGGAAGGACATGACTTCTTGCTCATAAGCTTTTAAAAATTGCAAACATGTTGGCAGCATCCTCCCTTTAGCTTTACATAAAGAGAGTCTGGGGCTGGGCTGTTCCCAGCAAAAAGCAGACAGCTTAACACACTCCAAAATGCCCTGGGACTCCTTATCAGATTCTTCTATTTTCCAAGCCAAAAGAATGAAACAAGAACAAGGAGACAAACAGTGCTTGCAGGCATGCAGCACACATGAGAAAACACAGTATTTACCACAAAAAGAACTGAGAACAAAATCGAAAATTAAGAAGTAAAGAAGGAGGAATTGGGATGACAGAAGATTAGTCAGTAATACAGTATAGTGTCTACTATACAGGACCAAAAGAAAAAACTCCAAGAAAGATTTCCAAATCAGCAGTAGCATTTATATATAAAGTTTTTGTATGACATAACAATACTTGTGTCTCTCTTCTACCCACACAAGCTGTACTCAAATGCTCTAATTTCTCACCTGCAAGCTTGCTCTCTTGCCATTTAAATGCCAAGGTTATTAACTATCCTTGTGCTTCACATCTATTAAAATGCTTTATCTAGACCTCCTATTAGCCTAAATAACTAGTAACAGAAAATAAGCTGCCAATTGTTGTACTGCAGATGACATAGTTAGTACTTATTCACTGACGTAATAATTTAAAAATTAATGGTTTCTCTGTACTTGTTTCATCTTGTAAGTCAAATCTTTTCAGAATTGTGAGCTATTGCTTTTTCACAAGTTAAAATTTTGTGACATAAAAATAGTTAAGGAATAGGTTTTGAGTATCTACAGTTAAAAAGAAAAAAAAAGAAAAAAGTATCTTACATAGCTGGAAGCCAGTTGGGTTTCATTGGTTAATAAGGAAGTAAGTTTCCTATTTCAGGCATTCAAAAAATACTTAAAAATTGAATGAATTGAAGAAGCTTCCCCAAAAAGCCTCCAGATTAGGATTCAGCTATCCAGTTTGAGCACAGGAGCTCCTTGCTGTTGGGGTCGCTGCAGATATTCTAATGCAATTAGAATTAAATTTAGTTTCAGGGAAGAAACTAAAATAGAATTAAGGCACCATTTATTTTGAAGACCTTTCCCTCCAGCTGGCATCAAACCCCTTGTGCAGAAATAACTAATGAGGAAAGTTTTAGAGACCCATATCAAATTCTTTAGCAGTTGTGCTTTATATAGATTATATTGGGAAAAACAATAAACTAGATGCTGGATGAAATACATCTAGGGACTTTCAAGGCTACAGGTAGTGTTATTAAAGCCACAGTATCCACGGGGCTGTAAAATCAAACCTTCAGTTCCTGTAGGGCTCTGTAAAGTGGATCTTGCTCATAAATTTATTTGCATAACTATTATAACTATTAAACAAAAATAAAAGCTAATCTTGATACTGCTTATGAATATTTTCTATCATATCCTTGGTGTGATAAATCTCAATTAAAATACTTTCTATACAATTATATGTTTACGCCAAAGTCTCTGAGTTATTCTGAACACTAATGAATATTATTTCTTGACTGAGATACTTTCCAGTTCTGAGTCACAGTTTTAATTAAAATACCATTCTTTTAAGAAAGAATAATAAAATGGAAGTGAGGAGCAGCAATAAGAAACAAAATGCAAATAATTTTTCCTATTAATAGGGTAACAGGCTGAGTGAAAAATAAATTAAATACTACTAAAGTACTACCAGAAGGAAATAAGTGGGAATAAAAAAGCTGTAACGACAGAAGAGAAATAACCAGAGATTTAAAACAAAATAAACAAGCATATCTGCCTTTTAGATATATCTATATATATATATAGATATAGTATAGATATAGATATAGATATATAGATATATATAGATATATATGCTCCAAAGTGTGACCCAACACCTTCGACAGTCACAACTGCACCTGAATCCAGAGTGGAGGTCATGGCCATCTCAAATGGCCATTTTTTAATACAAACAGCATCAGCTTTTACAGTGCAGCTTAATAGAGACCATGTTACAGGCCAGGCAGATTTCAGGCATTTGTGAATGGATGGTCCTGAACAGCAGATCCTCGAACAGGTAGAAAGGATTTAGCAAAAGGAGAAGAAAAAAAGAAAGAAAAGGCTGACAAAGCATTTGAATTCAGCTTGAATTTGTCCAAGGATTTTGTTGCCAAAAATAGCTTGCCAAAGTGTTTTTCTTTCTTTTCTTTAATAATGATGGGTTCTTGTAAAATCAGGTGCAAAAATTGGTCTTTTTAGTTTTCATGGGGACATTTTTTTTAAAAAATTGGTCAACAAATACCACTGTGAAGGGTGCAGATTTCAGTTGTTACTTATGCTGCTCAATGATTTATTCCATATATAAATCACTTTAAAAGAACATTGATTCTAATGTCAAGTCCTATATATCACGTATGTTACAAGCAATGTCACTAAACAAAATAAAAATTATTTAATTATTTTCCTTTTAGTGTTGCATGACCCTAGGGTTTGGCAGGAATAGTGCTAACTGTTGCATTGTGAGGGGTTGGAATTTTCCACACCCTTGTTCCAACACACTGCTCTTTGCTGTTCAAAACCAAGGTGTGACCACTTCTCTGCTAGACTACAGTAGCATTTTTTTAATAATAAGTAATTTTGCACCTGCATCATGGAATTTTTGCATAACACATTCACAAGTAATATCCCTGCGTTAATAAAAGACCACTCTATGAAATGGAAAATCCTGGTTTTATACAGGCATCCTTAATATAATCTTAAACATTAATAATAATATAATTTATATAATTACACATTAAATGTTTCCCAAATAGCCATATTCTGTTTTTAATGTAAAAATTAAAAAACATCAACAACAAAGCTACAAAAAGCTGAAAAAATCGTATATCAATTAATAAAAGAGGGCATTTAATTTCTTAGTTGACAATGGGTTGATCAGTGATTCCAGATTAGCAGTAATCGGTTTAAAAAGTTTTAAATTAAATGACATTAATTTGGAAAAACTATTAAGGACTGTAATTGTGAGAAATACCAAAGCTGTTTATCCAAGGACTGATTACATAATCTAGCTTGATGACATTAGGAAATCCTCACTTTTCTGACTGAAATGGTCATTGATAATTTTCAATTAGTTCTGTAACTACATACATTAACTTTGCAGTTATCCTGAAGAATACGTTAATTCCCAAGTACTTCTGATCCTTAAAAATCTGTCCAAGCTTTTTCTTTCACCAAAGGATGTTATGGTTTGTCCCATAATTTCACGTAAGACTGCTACAAATATCTTTTTGTAATGTTAACTTTTCACCTCAAAAGAAATAAATCACAGACAGGCCACATGGCACCTCCTAAGGGACAACAAAAAAAGGCAAATTATTTTTCTAAGGGGATTAAAAAAGGGTTTCTATTTTACTATATAATCTGTGGAGGTTTTCATCAGGAAATTTTGTTGTCGTAAGACAAATCAATTCCATTCCCATATTGCAGTCATTCCCTCAGGCACAGCTTATCTTCCCTCAGCCATATCCTTGCACTGAGATATAACTTGATTTAGAAATCCTGTACCAAGGAGACTACTGCACAGACAGTAATGGTTTCCTCATTTTTGCCTCAGTCCCTTTTTTCTTTCATGTCACAATTACTGCAGGTGTCACAGAAATTGGTCTGTCAGTTTGCAAGGGCATGCTTTGCAAACATGGAGCAAGGATTGGCTTAATAATTAAGAGAAATTATTTCTACAAGGATTTTGAACTCATCCTAATTCTCCCTTCAAAATTGTACCAGAAGTGGGGAAGTAGCTCTCCCTCTCTGAAACAACTTGTCTTATCACTCACACCCCATTCTTTTATGCTCACCATTGTGTTCAGGTTCTTCTGAAAGTAAGTAGTATCTGAGGGAAGATCTTGACAGGACATAGACAGTCCTAGTAGATTAAAAAGGATCAGAAAGCATTTCCAAGCTCTAGAAGTTGGTTTGCACAGTTACACTTTTAGAAATGCCCCTGGTCTAACACTGGCCACACTCTCCCAAGCAACAGCAGCTGTGTTTTGCAGCTGGTGTAGGTGAGGAACCATTCCTTCTAGGCCACTGAAACCCAAAAATATTTATTCCATGGACATACTAGGCAGCTCCTAAACCAGCCTTACCCCAGAGCCCATCTGAATTGGGCACTTAAAATTTACTTATGACCATGGAGGCAGCTAGGTAGTCCATAACTAAGTCCATAACTCTGGTTTTGGCACTGTCATCGGAAGCCATTGCACA